GCAATATAAATTCTTTTTGGTGGAAGATTACATGTATTTATAAATTTATTTTAGCATTCCTGATTCAACTATATAAGTATAGGATTTTGAATTCTACTATGAACTGGGAGTAACATTTTAATTAACGAATGAAACAAAATTTTTGACATGTGTTCCTTATATATCTATATGAGAGTCATGACTATACTCTTAACAAAATTATCCTTTAATATGTTGTAAATGTCTTATCCTACCCAACCTCAGTGTCCAGCAGGTTTGGTCTTCTTTGGCCCAGAGGAACAGGAGACCAGGTGTTGATGAGCAGACCTGGGACTGACCACAACCTTCGTCTATGGGTCTTCTTTAAGGGCAATCCCTTGGGAAAGCCTCTCTAACCCCATATGCTGGGTTAACTTCTTTGTGTTATGTGACCTTATAGTCTCCCTTACTTTTCATTCATAGCATTTACCTCAATTGTACTTAAATAATAGTTTTTGGAATTATGTACTTGATGCCTGCCTATGTCCCCACACTCTAAATTTCTTGAAGGCAGGAGCCATGTCTATATGCCTGATGCCTAGTGGCATCTGGTGCCAAGTCTCCTATTGGGTAAATATTTGTTGAAGAAACTAATGGACAGTGTCTTCACAGATCTTCCTAGGGCCGTCTGTCCTCTCTCACTGTCTCTGGGCTGGAGGAACCTCTTTAGGGCTTGACTTTCAGTAGCTGGGTTGAATGCTGCCTTTCCCTTTGGGCAAGAATCAGATCAGGATGGTTTTCTGAAATCTTCTTAAGGGGCAATATGGAGCAGTAGAAGGCTTATGATCTTTGGAGTCAAAATACTTGAGTTCAAGTTCTTGCATCCTACCCACAAGTAGGAAGCTGAAGCCTCTTTGAAACCTTGGTTTCTTCACCAGTAAAATTGAGACAGTGACTCTTGCTTCTTAGGGGGTATTATCAGCATGAAATGAGAGAAGGATCTCTGTTATGGATTAAATTATATCCCCTGAAAATATATGTTGAAGTTCTATCCCTTGTACTTAGGACTGTGATTTCATTTTAGAAAATAGGATCTTTAAAAAAATATATTATCAGTTAAGTCACAGAGGAGTAAGGTGTGTCCCAGTCCTAATCCCTTCTGAGTGGTATCTTATAAAAGAGGAAAAGTTACACAGAGACAGGGAGACAGAAGGACTGAGGCAGATATGGTAGCAAGCCAAGGATTGTCATGGATGGATTTCTGGCAGCCACTAGAAGCTAGGAGAGAGGCATGGAGGGAGCCCTCGGAGGGAATCGACATGGCCAAGACCCTGATCTGGACTTCCTGTCTTCAGAAATGTGGGGCAGATTTCTATTCTTTGAAACTACCTATTTTGTGATTTGTTTATGACAGCCCTAGGAGACTGAGATAGTCTCAGAAAACTCTGAAAAATCAAAACACTGTGCAAACATCAGGTATGGTTATTATTACATTTTAATACTTATCCATTTTACTTCAAATTCTGGACAAGCATTTTGATTATGCTTGTATCTATCTGTCAGCTTTTGCTAGGAAAAGCCATGGTAACAAGCAACCTCCAAATGAAAAAGGTTTTGCAGCATCATAGCTTTATTTCTTTCCCATTTCTATGTCTCTTGCAGTTGTCTGTGACTCTGCGTGGCTGTGCTCTCTGTGCCTTCTTTGTTCTGGGATCCAGGCCGAAGAAGAAGTGCTTTCTGGAACATGCCATTCTCAAGAAAGAGGAAAGGAGCAATAGTGGAGCCACATGATGGACACAAGTCCACCAAGGCTGATGTCAGTGGTGGTATGGTATCCTCCTCCAACGGGGGTAGCATGCTCACAGCAAGCGGAGGGCAGTGAACAGTGAGGAGCAGTACTATGATTTACCATCAGGATGAGGACACTGCTGGAGGAGAGCTCAGCACAGGTTGCCTGAGAGCCAACATGTCTGCTGGGTTTTGTGCATTTTGTGCATCATGCCTTCCTAGATCTGCCTTTGTATCCCCTGCTGCTGCTGGGCCCCCCTAGGTGTGGGCTTTTCCCACATCCTACGTGGACAAGCTCTTACTTCCCCTCTGTTTTCTTTCTTCTGGCCTGATCATCTGCAGCCTGCATTTGAACAGAGCCTGGGGGATGACCGTGTGTTGAGGGAAGTTATTAGCCTGAATCTAGAGGTCCAGATATGGACCCACCTCTCCACATGCCAGTGGGATGACACTGGTCATGTCATTGACCTTTGGCATCTGCCCAGCCCTATCCACATCCATCCCACGGCCTGGACTGGACCCTGAGATAGAACCTGAAGAAGGGTCTAGGATGTCAGTTTTCTTTTCTCCCACTTCCCTGCCCATACTGCAGTTCTGCAAACTGGAAGGCACACCTCAGATGCCATGCCTTGGACATCACACCATAGACATCCTGTATGACCGGCCATTGAGTACTAGGTCTGAGCCAGGGGTCCCGAGGACACTGTGGAGGTCAGAGGGTGGTAGCCTTCGATTTATGCAGAGCTGTGGGAAAGATGGTGCCCAAGCTCAGCCTTCCAGGCAAGGTTTGAGGGCCAAGACCTACTCCAGGTGGAGAACTCTTTGGGTGGCTGTCTTTTCTGCCTGTGTCTGGGTTTGCCCTGCTGTGTTCTGGCCTAGACTTGCTGTCCAAGTGTGTAAATGGACCGATGACAGCTTGAGAGCTCTCTCTGCAGCTGGGATAGGGCTGGCAGGTGGCACACCCCTTTGTCTGCAAGGGCCTTCAAGCCAGGAAAGAAGGACGCACCCAGGAACCTCTGCCCCTCGCCCGTAGCTCCACAGCACAGAAGCCTTACTGTTTAAAGGGCCACAATTTGGCACCAGTTACAGAGCACAACCGGCTCCATCTCAGGCTCCCTGGAGCTCGGCCTTGAGTCTAATGCAAGGACTCTCCGGTGATGTTATGGGGTGAACTGTGTCCCTCAAAAAAGTTATGTTGACTCTGTAAATGGAAGAGTTCTTGTTCTTTGCCATCAGGTCAGCCCCTGTCATGGATTGAATTCTGTCCCCCAAAAATATGTGTCAACTTGGTTAGGCCATGATTCCCAGTATTTTGTGGTTGTCTTCTATTTTGTGATTGTAATTTTATGTTAAAGAGGATTAGGGTGGGATTGTAACATCCTTACCCAAGTCACATCCCTGATCCAATGTAAAGGGAGTTTCCCTGGGGTTAGGTCTGTACTACCTTTTATCTCTCAAGAGATAAAAAGGAAAAGGAAGTAAGAGATCTGGGGACCTCATATCACCAAGAAAGCAGTGCTGGGAGCAGAGCTTTTCCTTTAGACCTGAGGTTCCTGTGCTGAAATGCTCCCAGACCAAGGGAAGACTGATGACAAGGACCTTTCTCCATAGCCTACAGAGAAGAGAAAGACTTCCTCTGGAGCTGACACCCTGAATTTAGACTTGTAGGCTACTGAACTGTGAGAGAATAAATTTCTCTTTTTTAAAGCCATCCACTTGTGGTATTTCTGTTATAGCACACTAGATGACCAAGACAGCCTCCAACTCATGGTGACCCCTCATACAATGGAACAAAATGCTGCCTGGTCTTTCTCCACCCCCATGACTGGTTGTGGATTAAGCCATTATAATCTATAGAGTTTTCATTGGTTGATTTTCAGAAGTAGATAACTAGGCCTTTCTTCCTAGTCCACCTTAGCGTGGAAGCTCTGCTGAAACCTGTTCAACATCATAGCAACGTGCAAGCTTCCACTGACAGGTGGTGCATTGTCCAGGAATTGAATCCAGGTCATCTGCATGGAAGGTGAAAATTCTACCATTGAACCACCAATTCCCTCCCTACCCTTTCTACCCCCTGCCCCCCCCCAAAAAAAAATTATGTTGAAGTCTTAACCCTGTACCTGTGAATGTGACCCTGTTTAGAAACAGGGTATTGTTTGTCATATAATGAGGTCATACTGAGTAGGATGGGTCCTAAACCTAATCATTTCTGACTGGTGTCTTATAATAAGAGCAGGATAGACACAGAGACATACACACAGGGGGAAGAGAGGCACCAAGGAATGCCAAGGAACTCCCAGGGATACCAACAAGGATGCGCCCGCACCCCGTTAGAGCTGATGCCCTGATTCTAGCTTCCAGAACGGTGAGACAATAAATTCTGGCTCTTTAAAGCCTCCTACTTGTGGTATTTCTCTCAAGACAGCACTATGGAAGTAAGACAGATGGCAAGGACCCAATTGTGTCAGTGGCATGGCCCCTGCTCCCCACCCATGGCCATTCCAGAAGCTGGGTCTGGACTCTAGTAGCTGCTCTTCCTGGCCTCCCTGTCTTCAGAGCAGCTCCCGTGCAGCACCATACAATGAGCCCCTCTACAACCCTTCCCTGTGTAAAATTACCTGCATCTCCCTACAACCCCCAGGACACGGGTCAGTGACTCAGAGGCACTTTTGACCCTACTCTGGGTTGGCCTTTTTTTGGTCATCCCACCTAGTTCTGGCCCCCTTCCAGCACAGCACGGGGCTTGTCCCTCAGCCATAGCCAAGGTTAGACAAGCCTCCTGTGCAACCCCTTGGGGCTCTGCTCACCAAGCTTCAGCTGCCTCCCTACACAGCTTCTTTGCACATCCTCGAACCTCCTTGCTCCATCCATCTCAGGTGCCGAGATCACTACTCCTGGCCTGCTGTTCTCAACCACCTGGCACCACAGGGGTCAGATTGGGGCCTTGTCCAGCACTGTGCCAGGCACAACAAGGCCCAGTCCCTCCAGTGAGGATGGAGGCTGTCCTAAGACCCCTTTGTCCTGCCCACACCACAGAGCAAGGGGGCAGGCACATCTGATGTCTCCCTAGCTGTGGGGTGGAAGTCTGCTGGAGAAGAAAAGACACAGGTGCTGGGGAGACCCAACGGCCCCTAGCCAGTGCTGGGAGCTGAGTGCATGCACTGTGCTCTGGGACCCATGTCTTGGCCAATCTGACTGCTGGGGCTGGTACTCCAAAGGCTCAAAAGTTGTCACCATAGAAAGACTACCTCCATGATAAACCGCATAATTTAAGGCCATTTTATTGTAATTAAAAAACAAGGACAACATATGTACATGAAAGAAAATCAAGGGGCTTCAGGAAATTAAAAAGAAGTAAGAAGCTACAAAGCTGATGACATTTCCTTGGCATGTTTTGCTTCCGTTTGCCTCATTCTTCTTCCCACTTTAAGATGTGGGCTTAGCACTCTGGCTCCTTTGTGGTGTGACTCTGCTGGGCATTTGCTTGAGGGGCGGTTGGGAGACATGGAGCCCAGAAGGGTGGCAAGGTTTGGATCCCCAGAACTCTGTGCTGTGCCTGTGGCCAGGCTGGCCTGACTCTTCGTCAGAGTCTCGCTTGTGAGACGCCCACTCCCAGCATCTGGTCATCTCTCCTCACTCTCACGCTCTTTGTCTTTGGCCACCTCTGTCCTGGGCCCATGGAGGTGGCCTCCCATGGCACACCCTGACCATTTGGGGCACAGTCACCAGGTCTCTCTCCAAGAGGCTGTCCAGCCACTCACCCTTAAGACCTGATGCCCTTTCTGGTCAGCACAGATGACACCCTCACCCAAAGGCCCTACCTTTGCACCCTCCAGACCCTGCAGTTTTTAAGGGGGCAGCCCAGGCCTTCACAGGTGGTCTCTTACATAGTGGTGAGGCTGGGCCTTTGGGCTGGAACTGGGCTGGTGGCTGGGAGATGGCAAGTATCCTGGGCCAGCCCCCTTGCCTGGCCTCATGCTGGCAGAGGCTGGGAGCATCTATCCCTTGGGTTGAATCCCACTACTAAGAGCACTGCGAGAGGCCGATATTGGAGGGGAAGCCCCTTCCCATGAGCTAGAGACAAACTTTCCAGTTCAAAATGAAAATGAGCTTATTCCTCAGGCCAGGGACCACAAAAGTGATGGAGGGAATCCCAGTGGTCTCCCAGGGTGGAACTAGCCAGGCGAGGGCCGAGAGGAAGCATCATGCAGTGAAGGCTGCAGCACTTCTCAGGGAGAGTACCTGCTTGAGGTGATGGTCAGTGGCTCCCCTGCCTTGGTGCATGATGTCCCCACCAAGGATCTTTGAGACTTGGCATCTCTCAGAGTCAGGCTCAGGGTGGGGCTTGCACTCAAGTCCCTGCTCCAAATGGACATGTGAAATACTGGCCCATCCCCTCCTCCAAAATGGACATGCACAGCTGACTCTGAGGGTCTCCCAGTGTGATGACCCCACCGGCACTCCTGGTGCTGCTGTAAATGTTATTTAGATATGGGGTGGCGGGGCATCCAGGCTGCTGAAGTATAGGGGAGAACCTGCTGTCCACAAGGTTCTCTGACAGGAGGGAGATGAGACAGCATGGTCAGAGGGCAGTAAGGGGTCAGAGGGCAGGGCGGGGCTCGGTTGGAGGGTGGAGCCACCTGAAGCCTATGGCGGGGTCCAGCTTCTATGTGTTCGTCTCTGAACAGCCACTAGGCAGCCTGCCCTATCATATTCCTGTAGTCGGGGACGATCGTCCGCTTCAGCTCCACCACCGAAGAGAAGATCCACTTCACCTGAGGGTGACAGAGAGGCAGCAGTGAGGGGATCAGCCCCAGACCCCTGTGACCCCCAGGCCCTGAGACCCAAAGCCCCCCTCTCCCTCTGCCCACTCATCTGGGGTCCGGCTGCTCCATGCATGGGGACCCTACTGGCAGAATAGCTCTCTGTGGGGGGCAATGGGCTAGGGGTTAGGAGTCGGAGGTTGGCACAGGGTAGAGGCCCTGGGAAGCAGACCTTGAAGAGGGTGATGGTGGCACTGTAGCACACGCTGAGCAGGAAGAGCGTGATGAAGATGGAGATGGTGGTCCACAGCCCATCCAGCTCCCCATCCTGGGCCTCCGCACAGCTCTCATCTGGGTGCAGCTCTGGGCAGGGGATGAGGGATCAGTGAGGGTGTCTGTGCCACGGGGGGTGGTGCAGAGATGGGGGACAGGAAGGTCCAGGAGAAAGGTCCCCATCTATGCTGGGGGTGGCCCTCCAGTCCCCTCACCCTGTCCTCCCTGCCTGTCTCCTCCCTGGAAGGGCTGGGACAGCAAGGCCCCGTGGTCATCTCTCCCTGGCCATACTTCTATAGTCTCTTGGGACTGTGCTGGGGACCCCTCCCCAGGCTTGGGCTCTGTCCTCAGTCCCATCCCTCTCCTACAGCTTGGGCCCCAGCATGGCTGGGAACCCCTGTCCCACTCATGGCCCAGCCAGCTGTGGGAACCACTCCCTTTTACCCTGCCACCAGTGCAGGGCTGGTCAGGGCAACATAAGGGTCCATTTTGGGACATGGCCACTCCAAGCCCCCCTGCAGCCTGTCTGGGCCCCTGGCCTTCCACTGTCACTCCCCTGGGTGAGAAGGTGTGGAGGGCAGGAGGGACAGAACAGCCTACCCTCCCCAGGGAAGCACAGTGCTGAGAAGTGTTGTCAGGGACAGTGAAGGGCTTTTGACCCCTCATATGAGGAGGCAGGAGTGTGAGTGTGCAGGAGTCTTTGTCATCACAGCAGTGAGCTTGTGATGTGAGGAGACCAGGAGTCCTGCCCCTTTGAGCAGCTCTGGTGGGTGGGTCTGGGAGGGAGCATGTGGGTCCCTACAGGTAGGGACCTTGTCTGAGTTGGTCAGGTATAGATGAGCTGGGAGCAGCCCATCGGACACTCTTGTTCAGCTTTGGAGGGTGTAGGATGAGGCTGGTGTGTGTATTCATGGGACCTGGGCTTGTGTTCACAGGGACACAGAGGGAGGTATTGTGCAGTTTGCCCTGTGTGAGGCCCCAGTGTATAAGGAGTGTGTGTGTATGGGCGTGTGTGAGTGTGCCCATGTGTTTGTGTGTGCATGCATGTCCATGTGTGCACATGTGTGTGGGTGCACGTGTATGCTTGTGAGTTTGCATGTGTTTACTTGTGTGTATCTGTGCATGTATATGTACTTGTGTATATGTGTGTGTGAATATGAGTGCATGTGTGTGTGTGCCTGTATATGTACATGTATGTGTGAATATGAGTGAATGTGTGCCCATGTGTTTGTAAGTGTATGTGCGCACACATGTGTACCCACCTCCCCATGTGTTTACGTGTGTGTGTGTGTGTGTGTGCACTGTGGTCCATGTGTTTGTGTGTGCATGTGTGTGGTGTGCGGGAAGACAATCTGTGGGTGCTGGGGTGTTATTTAGCAGGAAGGGTTTGTTTTTCATGGGTCTGAGGTCTGTGTCCATATGGGTGTCTGGTCATTGCCACCCCTCCCCAGGGCAGACCGCCTTGATCCTGAGTGTGTTGTGTGGAGTGGCCTGTTCTTGGAGCCCCAGTGGAAAAGGGGGGCCTGTCCCCATATCCAGGGGCCTCTATGTGAACACAGAGCCACCAAGGGGAGCTCCTGCAAGGCTCAGTGGACAAGGATCCCTGGGGACAAATCAGACACTCTCTCCACCACACAGCCTCCCTAGGTGCATCTACCTGTTTCCTCCCTCACTTCAGGCCAGAGTAGCTGCTGGCTGGAGAAGGGGCCCAGAGAAGAGACACTGCTGGTGAAGGACGTGTCTCTGTGGCAGGCTGCCCACAGCTGGCTCCCCCCAGGTGGCCTGCACATACCCCCATGCTCTCCCCCAATGCTGACAGTTCAGGTCTCAGGCCACTCCTGACCCCACAGCCCAGCAGGGCCCAGGCTCATGTAGGCCTCGGAAAGAACCATGCCAGTCTTGCAGGACCCCAGGGCAGAGCTGGGTGCTTTATTTTTAGGGTGGATTGCCTGGGGTGTATATACAGGTGAGGTTCCAGGTGTGCTCAGGGGCCCCAGCAAGCAGCAGTGGGGAGGCACTCGCTGGACGTGCTGGCTAGCACTCATTTACCAGGAGACAAGGAGATGGACTTCTCAGTGTAGTGGTTGTGCAGTGCCTCGTGCAGCACCACGCAGGTGAAGGAGCTTTCTCGCTGCCAGCTATCCTTGGACACTGAGAGCTTGCTGTACAGGAAGAAGGTCCCATCGGCCTCAGCCAGGGCTGGAGTGCTCACGTAGCTGTTCTCGGGCACTGCCTGCTGGTTGCTCTTCCAAGAAACATCAATGTCAGATGGGTAGAATCCCTTCACCAGGCATGTGAGGCTGACCGTGTTCTTGGCCAGCTCATCCCGGTGTGGGGGCAGGACATACACCCGTGGCTCCTGGGGCTGCCCTGTGGGACAAAGGTGGAGGGAGGTTATTTCCAGTGTTGAGGGAGGCGTAGCCCACCCCTCCTCACCCACCACTGCCTCACCTTTGGCTTTGGAGATGGTCCTCTCAACAGGTGCTGGGAGGGCTCCATTGTTGACCTTGCACTTGAATTCCTTGCCTTTGAGCCAGTCCTGGTGCAGGATGGGGAGCACGCTGACTATGCGGTAGGTGCTGTTGTGATGCTCCTCCTCTTGCGTGGTCTTGGCTGTGTGCACCTCTTTGTTGTCCATGTACCAGGTGAAGTGGACCTCACGGTCATCATGGCCCACGTCTATTACCAGGCACGTCACCGTGGGGGTTCGGGAGATCATGAGGAAGTCCTTGGGCTTGGGGGGGAAGATGAAGACAGAGGGCCCTCCCGGGAGCTCAGGAGCTGGTAGGAAGAGATGAGAGTCAGTGGCAGGGCAGTGGGAGCTGGGTTGTGGACTGGGTTTGTCCCCCACTGGGGCTGGCTCCTGTTAGTGAGGGTGGGGTTTACTTTACCTGGGCACTTGCACTCTGTCAGACATGGCTTGCGGCATGACTCTACAAAGATTGCAGACAGACAGAGAATGTTACCTTAGTGGAAAGGAGAGTAGGCATCCTGGCTGGGGAGGGAATGTTTGGCCCTCAGACTGGGATGAGGTCAAGTTAGGCTCTTTCATGCAGCAGTTGGCAGCTCTGAAATCCACCATCTGACTCTGGGCCCAGGGACTGGATTACAGGCATCCAGGCTGTGCATCCCCTAGGCCTGGCAGAGGACCCCAGAAGACCCCCTCCTTGAACCTGTGGGACCCCAGGAGGGGCAGGCAGAGTCCTTTAGGGGGAGGAGACAGACAGGAGTCACCACCTGCCCTGCACCCCTTGGTGCATCTGGGGCCTCAGGCTGACCCTAAGCTTGTCTGCTGTGGACACAGGTTGTGGGTTCCCACTTGCAACCTTGCCCGTGGCTCACCTATCTTCTTCTTCACGTTGGTCTTGCTGGGAGTGTGGGCAACGTTGCAGGTGTAGGTCTGGCTGGGCCAGCTGCTGGCAGGCACAGTCACCGTGCTACTGAGGGAGTACAGGCCAGACGACTGCAGGATGGCTGGGAAGGTGTGTGCGCCAGATTGGTCTCCAGGGTTCCAGGACACCGTCACTGGCTCTGGGAAGTAGTTGGTGACCACGCAGGCCAGCACCACTGTGGATCTGGATGTGGTCCCACAGCAGGGGGCCAAGGGGAAGACTGTTGGGGCTGTGGTGGAGGCTGCAAAAGAAGGGGCCCTGTGTGACCATGTGCCCTGGCTGAGCCTGGCTGCCTGCCTGCCAGGCCTGTACTCTGTGCTCACAGGCACCAGGAGTACACACCTGAGGAACACTTTTGGGGCACACACCTGGGTCACACAGCTGGCCGGTCTCACCTCCTTCCACCTCAGCCCTCCCTCCCTGGGGACCCCTAGGAAGGTGCCAGGCCTGGGACATCTCTGACTGGACATGCTTCCAGGACAAGGTGCCTTGGCTGTGGCCTTGTTGACTACCCCAGGACCACAGGCTTGGCTTGGTCAGCCCAGCCAGCTTTCCAAGACCACCTACAGCCAGCTGAGCCCTGGGATCTCCCAGCCCCTTCTTCTGACTCTGCTTATCCATTAACCTTAATGTGGGTGGCTCCAGGTCCCCCACCTCCCCTGAGTGCCAGACCTAGTCCTCTGGTTGACCCCAGACTGTAAGCCCCTGCTCTGGCCAGCTTCTCTCTGCTCTCTCAGCCAGTGGCCATCCTTGGGCCCTCTTGCCCCAGTCAGGCCCTATACCTGGGAGTAGCAGCCTCTGCTACACCCTGCCGGCACTCCGGTCCAGGCCGCTCCACACAGAGCCTCTTGCCACTCCACTCTCTGCCTTCCGTGTCTCCGGGTCTCCTGGAGTCTACCCCCTGACTCCAGCAAAGGATCTTTATCTGCAGTGAAGGCTGCCCAGGCCCTGTCTTGTGTCAGAGACTGCTGACCCTGGCCCCCCCTGTCCTTAGCCAGCTCCCTGGGAGCGCGGGCATGCCTTTCTCTGCCCCCTACCCCTTCACTGGCCCAGCCCAAGCCTCTAGCCCAGGCTGCTTCTAATCTGTTGCTCTGGGCCTGAGCTCCTATGGCCCCCTGTGGCTCCACCAACCCAGCACTCACACTCCCCCATCATGGCCTCCCTGTCCTTCCTGGCCACTGTCCAGCTCCTGTTCACCCAGATGCTTCCTCTTTCTTGTGTGGTCCTGCCTGAGTTAGCCCCAAGGCACCACCTCCTCCTCCCTCCATAACCCAAACTCAGGTTACCTGCCTGTCCCTGCCTCTGCCCACATGGCTCCCAGGTCTGTCAGTTCAGCCTGAGCACCGCCCCCCTCAGGCTCTGCTTCCCAGCCCAGCAGCTCCTGAAACCAGGGCATCCCAGCCCACCCTCAGCCCAGGTGGGAGCTGTGCACCTGCCCTCTGACTCTCTTCTTCCCTGCTTGTGCCAGTACCGTGAGCCCCAGGCAAATCGAGTGTACCCTCTGTCCCTGCATCCTCAGGCTTTGGAAGCTCAAGCCCACCCCCTGCCAGGCCTGTGCCCTCGGACTTTGGGCCCCTCTGGCCACCCCCTCTCCCTTGCCCACTTACACCACAGGTTCCAGCAGCCCATGCTCAAGCCCGTCTGCCAAATCAGCCACCTTGTGACCCCACCCCATGACCCCATCGCCCCTGAAACAGAGCTGAGCCCTTTGGAAGAGACTGTGGCTTCCTCCTCTGCACTGGGGCCTCCACTGCTCATGGTCCCCTCCCTGCACAAACCCTGGACCCTTCCTCCCCTGGAGCTCCTGCCAGTCCAGTCTCCTGCCTCTGTCCACCTGCTTTCTGTTGGTCAGTTCAGGCTGGGCGCCTGCTGACTTCACCAGCCCAGGGCACCTCGCCCTCCTCAGGGTCCTCAGTACTGACCTACCAGAACCCCCGCTCCAGCTCCTGCAGGACCCCTGCACCTCCTGCTCTCTTGCTCTGAGGCCCACCTACACAGGACCTGAGCCCAGGCTCAGCCTCAACATCCTCAGACCTTCTGCCCATCCTGTTAGCCCCAGCACTTTCAGCCCAGGTCTGCCAAGGGTCCCTCCTCTATCCACTCACTTCCCAGCACTGGGCTTGTTCCCTTGTTCCCAGGACACCCACCATTGGCCCAGCTGTTCAGCTGCCAAGGCCTTCAGTCTCTCCTGTCAGAGCAACCAGCTCCCACCCCTAACTCCTGGCTTCAGCTCTCTGGCCCCAACTCCCTGCACCCAGCTTGCAAATCGCAGCTCCTAGCTCTCAGTTTCCAGCCCCCAGCTTCTAGCACCCAGCCCCCAGATCCCACTTCCCAGCTCCTAACACCAGCCCCCAGATACTTGGCTCCAGCTCCTAGCACCCAACTACCAGCTCTCAGGTCTCAGCCCCCAGCTCCTAGCAACAAGTCCCCAGCTCTCAGCCCCCAGCTCCTGGCACACAGCTCCCAGCCCCCAGCTCCCAGACTTCAACCTCTAGCCCCCAGCTTCTAGCTCTGAGCTCCCAGTCCCCTGTCTCCAGTCCCTAGGTCTCAGACCCTAGCTCCCAGCTCCCAGCCTTCAACTGCCAGCTCCTAGCAACAGCCTTCAGCCCCCTATCCTCAGTCCCTGCTTCTCAGCTACCTGCTTCTGGCCCCTAACTCACTCCTCCCAGCCCCCAGGCCCTACCCCCATCTCTCAGCTCTCAGCTCCCAGCCCCCAGGTCCTAGCCCCCAGCTCCCAGCCTCCAGCTCCTAGCACTAAGCTCCTACCCCCAGCACCTACCTCTCAGCTCTCAGTGTTCACCCATCAGCCCCCATATCTCATCCCCAGGCTCCCAGCTCCCAGCCACCAGCTCTCAGTACCCAGTTCCCAGTCCCCAGCTCCTAACCCCCAGCTCCTAGCCCCCAGCTCCTAGCTCCCAGCTCCTAGCCTCCAGCTTCTAGCTCCCAACTCCTAGCCTCCAGCTCCTAGCCCTCAGCTCCTAGCACCCAGCTCCTGGCCCCCAACTCTTAGCCCACAGCTCCTAGTAACCAGCTCCTAGCACCCAGCTGTCAGCTCCTAGCTCCCAGCTCCAAGCTCCTAGCATCAAGCTCCCAGTACCCAGCTCCTAGAACCAAGCTCCTAGCCTCTAGGCCCCAGCTCCCAGCACCCATGTCCTAGCACCCAGCTCTCAGCACCCAGCTCCTAGCACCCACTTCCTAGCACCCAGCTCCCAACCCCCAGGTCTTAGCACCTAGATCTTAGCCCCCAGCCCCTGGCACCCAGTTCCCATCCTCCAGCTCCTAGCACCCAGCTTCCAACACCCAGCTCCCAGCTCCTAGCATCCAACTCCTAGCAACCAGCTCCTAGCAACCAGCTCTCATTCCCCAGCTCCCAGCCCTGAGCTCCTAGCACCCATCTCCCCAGCCCCAGCTTCTAGCACCCAGCTCCAGCCCCCTACTCCCAGCTCCTGGCCCCTAGCTCCTAGTACCAGCTCCTAACCCCCAGCTCTCAGCCGACAGCTACCAGCTCCCAGGCCTGAACTCCTAGCACCCAGCTCCCAGCTTCCAGCTCCTAGCACTCAGCTCCCAGCCCCAGCTCCTAGCACCCAGCTCCTAGCACCTAGCTCCCAGCCCCCAGCTCCTAACCCCCAGCTCCTAGCACCCAGCTCCTAGCACTCAGCTCCCAGTCCCTGCACCTACCACTCAGCTCCCAGCACTCACGCACAAGGCCCCAGCTCTTAGCCCCAGGCTCCCAGCTCCTAGCATTCAGCTCTTAGCCCCCAGTCCCCAGCTCCCAGCCTTCAGCTCTCAGTTTATAGTCCCCATCTCCTAGCACCCAGCTCCCAGCTCTAGTGCACACCTCCCAGCTTGCAGCATTCACCCATCAGTCCCCAGCTTTCAGACCCAGGCTCTCAGCCCCTAGCCCCAGCTCCCAGCCCTCAGCTCTCAGCACCCAGTTCTCAGTCCCCAACTCCCAGCTCACAGCTCTCAGCTCCCTGCTCCTAGCTTTCAGCTCCTAGCCCCTATTCCCCAGATCCCAGCTCCTAGCACCCAGTCCCTAGCCCCTGCTCCCAGCCCCTAGCATCCAGCCTCAAGCCCCTAGCACCCAGTTCCAGCTTCTGGCCCCTACCACCCAACCTCCAGCCCCCAGCATCCAGCCTCTACCTCTCAGATCTCAGCTCCTAACACTCAGCTCCTATCACTTAGCTCCAAACCTCTAGCATCCAGTCTTAGTTTCCAGCCCCTAGCTCTAGCACTCAGCTCCCACCTCTCAGCTCCTGGCCCCCAGCTCCCAGGCCCTAGCCCTCAGCTCTCAGCTCCTACCTCCTAACACCTCGCTCCTAGCCCCCAGTCCCCAGTTCTCCACTCCTAACACCCAGCCCCCAGCCCCTATCTCCCAGCACCCAGCACCCAGCTCTCAGCTCCCAGCCCTTAGGTCTCAGCTCCTATCCCCCAGCACCAAGCCTCTAGCACCTAGTTCCCAGCTCCTAGTACCCAGTTACTAGTCCCTAGCACCAAATCCAAGCCCCTTTCCCCTAGCCTCTAACAACCAGCCTCTAGCCCCAGCTCCCAATCCACACCTCCCAGCTTGTAGCTCCCAGTTCCTTGCACCCTCTACCCTAGCCCCATTCCCCTAGTTCCCTCCTAGATGAGCTCCTAGCCACTGCCAGGTCTCACCCTGACCTCCCCAACCTAAGCTTCAGTCCCTGATCTCCCCACGGGCAGGACCAGTGCTGACCCCCGACCATGGCTGGATCCCTTCCTCCCAGCCTTACATCTACTCCTGGGGGCCCAACATCCTGTTCTTGCTCCCAGGTCCCTGGATTTGACCCTTTCTTCCTGAAGCCCATCGTGCTGCCCACTCAGTGCCTGCCCTGGTCCCAGCCCCTGGCCACTGAGCTTGGGCACAGGGATGCCCACTCTGACCCCTCCTGCGGTTGGCCCTGGCTGTAGCCTAGAATGTCCCCCCACCTTCTCTGACACAGCCCTGGGGCTCCTACTGGCTCCATGGGTCTGGACTGGACCCTCTGGCCACTTGGTGGCCCCTCCCCTATGCTGAGCCAAGCCCACCCCTGTGCCCTCAGTTCACACCTGCCCTGCCCCACCTTGTGTCAGGCTCAGCGCCTGCTGGCTCTGCCTCGTGGCCCCAGCCCAACTCAGACACTGTGCAGCTCTGAGGCCTCCACCCGTCCATCCTGGCAGTGTCTCCAAGGGCAGAAGGCCCCCTGCAGCCCACCTCTGCCTGCCCTTGGCATCCAGGTC